AGACCCTCTCTCTAATCACTATCTTCCTCCTCTCCCTCTACATCACCTCTCGGCCCTAGAAGGCCCAGCCCAAGCCCGCCGCCGCCATCCAGCCGGGTCGCCATGGCCTGCAACAATCTATCCCTTCTCACCTTTGTTCTTCACCTTCTCACACGAATGATCTGCCCAGCAAGTTCATCATTCTACCATCCGATAGCTTCAACCCAAAACCCAAAAATCAAATTTTCGCAATTTCCAAAAACCCAAAAATTCAAATTTTGATTATTCGGATTGCAAAAAAAGCCAAAAATGCTTACTGTGTAGGAATCACAAGGGTCGAGCTCCAAGGAAGAGTCGCCGGTGGACAAGCCCTTTTGGACATCGATAAATGAGTGAGCTTTATCTAAGTTCATCTAATCCTACCATTTGGGGATGATGGGTTGATCGAATTTTGGTTCAACTTGATTTGTATTTGGTGATTTGAATTTTTGTGGCTGTTTATTTTCCTATCAAATCCAATGGCGATGGAAGTTCTTCATCCTTCCCGTCGTCGAGAAGGTGAAGAACGAAGGTGAGAAGGGAGAGATTGATGCAGGCCATGGCGACCCGATTGGACGACGACGGCGGGCTTGGGATGGGTTGTCTGTTGGGTGGGGAAGATAAAGGGGGAAAGGGATTTATGGGTTTCTTTTTTTTTTTTAATTAATTAATTAATTATTATTTTAATATTTTATTAAGTGTTCAGCCACGTGACACAAATATAACAGTCACGTCAGCATAAATGGGGACCTCATATGTGCCACGTCATCACTTAATGGTTAACTTAACAGATTTTCTAACGGATGTATGAAATTGAAATAAAATGATAAGTAAATGTATGAAATTGAAATGCTTTAAAGATGTTGTAAGGAATTGAAATTGACCTCAAACCTAAGGGGGTAAATGTAATTTACCCAATAAATACATACAAAATTCTATCCTCACACTTAATCTGATCTCATCCTGTTTACCCTTTTTGACTGTTTAGTTCATAAACCTGCATAACAATAGAGGGGTGAGCTTTTCCAAAGCTCAATAGGGACATAACTTTATCACAGTAAATTGACAGTATTAATTTAACTGTCATAAAATCATGTAATCAAGTACCAAATCATTATCATCAATAATACATGAGTGCAATACAATACTCTTCATCTCTACCCATTAATTCATATAATAAACACACGTACCTGCACGTCCCATATCGTGCATTTTACCTCTGCAGTGGTGGTTCGAATGTTCTAATATACAAATTAACCCCCTGTAACTCAATCATCCCAATTTCCCCTTTTGTTAGTCATCTTGCCAAAACTCTTCGTCGCCAGTCCCGAATTACCCTTAAAGAATATGTGCATTGTGGGCTCACCTGATACCTGATAAGAGTTTGGCTCAACTACACAAAAGATCCTTTCCAACTACCCTCACTTCCAATTCTTTCTCAACACTGAAGCTCCAACCACATAACACATCATGAATGATGCACAATTAACCTCATTTCATATTCAACATATATCACCAATGAAACAACATTCCAACAACAGTTCACAATTACAACTCTATGAACATTCGAATCAAGCAATGATACACATATAACCAATTATCATCCAATCCCAATCAGTCAATCAATATTAACAATAATATAGCACTTCACGAAATTTAATAAGATCAATCTTTGTAAAGGTCTACCGTATTTCCCCTACCTGGATTCCAAAGCATTGCTCCAAGATAATAACACAAGAAACCACAATTGTGATAAGCTTCTATTCACAAGTATAAGAAAATCACTATATGCAAGGCAAGAACTTTAATCCCAGTTAAACCACTTGAGATTACTAACTTAACAACACCCATTTCAAATGCCCTTTTGGTTGATCTAAACTAATAACATGGTCATAACAGAACGTTTGAATGAGTACAACTTGCAGAACAAGGGACATGTGAAATACAAATATAAATATGCATGCTGTCTTCTTGGTGTATAAGCTGGGAACATAACTTTAGCCAATAATTAAATAAAGTCTTTCATATGATTAATGAATAAGTATATTAAACCACATATATAAGCAAATTACCAAATGCATGACATGAACTCTAATCCTAATTAATGCATTTAAGTTTATCGATTCCGCAATACTAATTCATAAGTTACTGTATGTTGATTAACTCCAAACACATGCTTTACTTGATACAGTTGAAACTATACCTATGAACATATGCAGATAGTTCCATGCCGAGAAAACTAGCTTGGTTTACTCAGGCTTGTGCAAAGTTATATGCATGAATACCAGCATATACATATATAGTTTCTCTCAAACCAACAAGAAAGATATATGTTCGAATTAATATGCTCAAGCCCTCTTTTATATAACAACCTCTAATAAAGGTAAGAGATCATATTTAGCATGTGATAATTATGTATAGGTTCAGTCCTATCACTTTTGTGTAGGTAAGATGATCTCCAATTGTAAAGTCTGATAGCCAAACGTCTATGCAGATATACATACATATATAATACAAACCAACAAAGTTGAAACACGACTGAGTTCTACATTATATAGAGCTATGGAAAGACTAAAGAAAATATGAGAATCATTACCCATATTTATCCTGCTACAGATTTGACACCGCCGATTAAGAAGCACCTCAGCTTCTGGTTTCTTACTCCCTTCTCTTTCTCTCACTCTCTCTCTCTCTCTCTCTCTCTCTCTCTCTCTCTCTCTCTAACCAAAGACCGCAAAGCACCAACTTTCTCTCACTTTTCATGCTTCGAAAGAGGAAGCAGAGCTGCAGAGATACCTAGCTATTTATAGCAAGAAGAGGCGGCAACTCACTCAACATCCCAATCCTAACCGTGTAATATTACACCGACTAAAAGAAGATAATAATATAAGAAAGAAGAATTTGGAGCAGGCCTCTCGGTGAAGGCCGATAACTAAAGTAAAGGAACTGGGCTATGTTCACATAATATTTAGTCCATGTCCTAATATAAATAATAATTAAAAAGTGCAGAATAGGCTGGAAACTAGACTGATTGATCCAAAAAGCCATTCATAAAATCATGTAAAATAATTAATCAACTAAAATAGTTTGATAAATTATAATCCAAAGCTGATGAAATTAATCATAATATTTAACACATAATTATCATATAAGTTTTTTTTTTTTTTAATACAAGTCTTCACAAAGCACCTCCACAACATTTCTTTGAAGTGGATCCATCAACAAAGGAGACCCTTGCGTGCCATGTCCCCTAAACATGAAATAGACACTACAACTTGTTGGCGAAGATTGAGACTCCAACTTGTTGGCAAAGATTGAGACGCCGACGATGTAAAAGCACAAAACATGAAATAGACACTACAACAAAGTGTCTAAATTCACAGAACTGCAACGCATTGTCTAAATCCACAAACCTATTTGAATCTCAATGCACAATCACACAACAAGGAACAGACACTGCAACGAAGTGTTTGAATCCACATAACCGAAACAGACACTGCCTTGCTGTGTCTGAATCCACAAACCTCTTTAAATCTGAATGCACAAGCACAGAACATGAAACAGACACTGCAACAAAGTGTATGAATCCACAAACCTATTTGAATCCGAATGCACACTCACAGAACATGAAACAGACACTGCGTTGCAATGTTCGAAAAATGGAGGTTGAAGGTGATGGGAGGCATAGGATGTTGAAGTAATGGAGGTTGAAGGTGGTGGGAGGCGGGGAGGTTAAAGTCTAAAGGTGGTGGGAGGCGCAATGAAGGAGATGGAAAGGTTTTTTGTTTTAAATGGTAATGACATCATTTGTAATTTTAATTTGATTGAGGTGTTTTAATGTATCTTAAAGTCTCATTGACCTATTTATAATTCCAATAAATTTGATTGACCCATTATTAATATCATAACTTTTAATTGATTTTATACAAAATCACCCACAAATTTATTATATGCCATAGCAGTGAGTTATATCAATCATGTTATTTACCCTCTTTTTTTTTAATAGTATGTCACATGATTTTATTCCTGATACCCATAAAAGTTTTTCCACAAGGTGTTTACCCATAAAAAATCTAGTTGCGAATTCGGTGCTAATTTGCGATCCATACTCTAGGATTTGGATCCCATCTAGATCCAAATTGTGGGGATCCTAGAGATCCTCACATTTTAGTTGTTTATCGTACATCGTGTGGTCAGAAATAATTTTTTATTTAAAATTAAACATAAATAATACCTAACGAAAACTAATCGAACAATATATGATGAACGATTAAAATGTGAAAATTTGCAGGATCTTCATCCATACTCTGTATGCAGGGGGACTTGAGGTGAACAATGCAAGGCCGACACCTATTTGTAGGAAAAAGTGTTATGGACTTATCATTAGGGATGGGCTAGAAACTTAAGTGGTACTGGCAGGAAAAGGATTAGGATTTGAGTAATGGGCTAGAATCACATAAGCATAAAATCACATAGAAAATAAATAGGTAATTATCACATATATAAAAAGGTAAGTGCGTTCGACGAGAAATTAAAAAAAAAAAAAAAATAAAAAAAGGTAAGTGCGTATTTTTTGGGTGAGATTAAGTAATCTGGTTAAGTGTAAGACAGGATTAAGAGATGTAATATCTTTGTATCCATATTTTTAGCCTAAACTTAAGAGATCACAGACCCAATATCCCATCCTAATCTTATGCTTTACAACCAAGTCACCGGTTCTTACCATTATATGTATCAGTTACCTTCTTCAGAGCAAAGACATTCCAAAATCTTGAGAGCTTTCCATATCTCTCCAAAATTTCTTAACAATATTGTAGGGTTTGCCATTCTTAGTTTCTATCCCCCTAGGTTTGCCATATTCTCGCCAAGATTGCACAATAATATTCTAGGGTTTGCCATTAGTTTCCTTCCCTCTAGGGTTTGCCATTCGTTCTCATTCCATCTAGGGTTTTCCATTAATATCACAAGTACTATTACTAACAATGGCTAAGACTCCTGATAATAAGATCACAGACATAGGTACTACTAATGGGAAAAAGGAGAGCAAAGGTCGAAGAAGGGTTGAAATCAAGAGAGTTGAAGACAAGAACAAGCGTCACGTGACCTTCTCCAAGCGCAAAAGGGGTCTCTTCAACAAAGCAGCGGAGCTCAGCGTTTTGACTGGTGCAGAGACGGCTGCGATTGTCGTGTCAAGCAATGGCAAGGTTTTCTGCTTCGGAAGCCCGTCACCTGACACCGTCATCGAGCGCTACCTTAGTGACAATACCTTCTTACTACCTGCAGGTCAATCAGATAATCATCTCCAAAACAACAACATTCACCATTCTAGTAATAAGAAACAAATAGAGGATTATGTGGAAGCTTCGAGACGCTTGAAGGAAGCGAAAGTATTGAAGGGTGGGAAGAAAAATAATAGTAATAATAATGGAGGAGATGGAGGTTGTTCTTATGGGTGGTGGGAGAGGCCGATTGGGATGATGACTAGTTTGGAAGAGTTCGAAGAGTACAGGGATGCTTTGTACAAGTTGAAACACAATGTGGAGGTTCGAACCAATCAAATGATCCGGGAAACTAGTCCTTCCACTCACTTTTCCCCGCTTTTGTTTATGGATGATATCTGGAATTCTCCTGGATTAAGCCATGGTCAAGGGTTCATGGCACCAGAATTTAATTTCTTCATATGATATCGATGTAAATAAGTATGATTGGAATGGAGTTACTTATCTTTTGTAATCGTCATGGCTTTTGATGAAGGGTTTTAGCTGGATAGGGTTGATGACTGAACAGGTTATATATATGGTTATCATCAAGAAGTTTTTTTTTTTTTTCCGTCAAAAGATAAAATTTATTTATATATGGCTGCCATCAACTAGTTTTATGATATCAACGTATATATATTTGGTTTATTGGTTCTTTAGTCATATGCATGCTACTTGGTATGAGGTTGGGGATGTTTTATGCATGTTGTACTTCTTTTATCTGGAATTTATCTGAAAATTGAACATATATAAATGGATCTACTTGCTTTTTGTATTTTCTTTTCTTTTGTCCGTTTTATATGATTGTTGATTCTTGCATACAACAGATATTTGTTGCTTATTTCTTAGACTGATAATAGTTTTTAATTTCGGTTTAGTTTTAAAATTTTAGGTATGAGAGAAAAAAATTTGGATTGCACTTCAACTCATTGAAAGCAAATCTCGTGGGCTTTTTATGGTAAGATTCATGTACAATCATTTAGGAGATCATACACTGGGTATGTGAGATCAAATCATTTAGCTATTATAGGAATATAAGACCTGGTGACTTTAGGAAAAGATTGCAGAACCCTAGAGTTTAATATTGCATTTGAGAGCAAAAGTGAGTTTCATTGTGTTAGGTTTTGAGAGCAAACTTTGTGAGACTTCAGAAACCTAGTTATCATACTTTAGATCTGTGTGGGGACGGCGTGCTACAAGAACAAAAGTACAAGAGAACATAGTTGAGTCTTGTAAAGTCCTTATTTCTGGATTCTTTTATGGACTGTGCCCCCATGGTTTTTCTTTGGATTTTCCTCGTTGTGAGTGGGGTTTTACCACATAAAACAAATCCTTATATTTATTGTTCTTATATGTATTTATCTCCGTTTTTTTCACTGTTATGCAGCTGGAAGGAATGGGTTTTGATCCTACTAACTGCACCTAGGTTTGATATAGGTTTTGATCACCTAAATTACATTATCGTATACTAGAATCTTATATGGTTATAGAGCTCTAAGGTTTGATATAAGTTTCCCTAAATAAATGATTAGGGAAACTCATTCCAATTACTTCTTACTATTCGCTTTGAGTAGCTAGGTGTTCTGAATTAGACAAGGGTGGGAATATAGTTTGATAACTATAATATGTGTATGTGTGTGAGGTAGTTAAGTTGGTTAGGATTCTATGTGTTGAGATTGTGACAAGTGTCAACATCTTGTGAGCTTTGTATTAGCTTAATAGCTAAGCAATGTAACTAGATATATACACATTGTATAAGTGTAATTTGTAAGCTTCTCAATTCATTAATACAAGATACACTTTCTCTCTCTACAACTATACTTTCTTTCTCTGCAAGAATATTGCTACTTCTTCTGTTTACATGGTATCTTTAGCCTGAAAAGCTTTGGCTTAACAGTTTCTTGATCTTGGTTCTTCTACTTTCACTCACTACTTCGATCAACAATCGGTCTCTCTTTTCTTAGGATCTTGATTCCTCTCTGCTTCTCCGACTAGGTGCATCTTCTTTGCACACCAAATGTTTGTTCTAATTTCTCAGAGAAATTTTTCATTTGGGTTTCTTCTCTCGATCTTCTACAATGGTGACTTCTGCTCAACTACAGATTCTTCAATCACCTACAACGTCTCTCGTAGCAACAGTCTCATCCTATGTGGCTGTCAAACTTGATGACTCCAACTATCTTACTTGAAATTTTCAGATCGAATTGTTTCTTGAAGATCATGGTCTTATGGGTTTTGTGGACGAGTCTCATTCCTGTCCTACTCGATTTAATGTGCCTACTTCTGGGGATTCAACTATTTCTTCAACTGATGCATTATCTCCAATTGAAAGTGATCAGTTCAAAATTTGGAAAATGCAAGATCAGGCATTGATGCAATTGCTCACAACCACTTTATCTCCTTCAGCTATCTCTTGTGCAATTGGTAGTACCAGTGCTCGTGATTTGTGGGTGCATCTCAAAGAACAATTTTCAATTGTTACTCGAGCTACAGTCTTTCAGATGAAATCTGAGTTACAAAACATCAAGAAATGTACTAATTCGATTTCACTATATTTGCAACGCATTTAAGAAGCTTGTGTCTATCTGTTTGATGATGGAGTTCAATTTGACAATGATGATATTGTCATTTTGACCCTGAATCGTCTTTCCTCTGAATACAATACTCTACGATCTATTATTCGAGGCCATGAGATTCCATGAAAGATCCCATATCTCAGTTAATTGCTGAGGAAACAATGGTTGAAAATGTTCTCATTACTCTTGTCTTGTTTGCAATAGTTGCTTGAAACAATGGCAGTGACTCCAAGTCTTATGGTGATTCTTCCAAAGCTGAGGATTCTTCAAATGGTAATTCTTATAGAGGTTCTTCTCAGTCTCATTTTTATTCTTCTGGTAATTCTAGGTTCAAGTCAAGCTACAGTAAGAACAAAAACAAGGGTAAATTTCAATACAATTCTCAATCTCATTTTGGAAATTCAAGAACAATTATGGAAATTATACTGTGAATCCAGCTCCTGGCATTCTTGGTACTTCTCCACCACGACAACTGGGATTCTCTAGTACATCTTGTCAAATTTGTGGCAAGTTTGGACACTTGGCTCCTACCTGCAGATTCAAGAATTTTGATAGTGTAGTTTCTAAACGTTGTCAAGTTTATAGGAAAAAGAATCACAGTGCTAAATACTATCATTTCAGGAACTCAAGCATTTCAACTCAAGCTCCAATAGCTATGCTCATCCATCACAACCTTATGAACCAAGTGCTCATCCTTAGCAACTTTGGCTGATTGATTCAAGAGCATCTTCACATATAACTAGTTGATTTTAGTAATCTGTCATTGGCATCCCTATATCCTACTAATGAAACAATTCAGACTCCGAGTGGTGTAGGTTTATCAATATCTCATATTGGTTCATCCACTCTTCGTACTCCATTAAAACCATTGCAACTTAATTCAGTTCTTTGTGTTCCTAGGCTATCTCATAACCTTTTATTTGTGCATAAACTATGCTTAGATAATAGTTGTTGGCTGATATATGATGCTTTCTGTTTTTAGATTCAGGACAAAGCCACATAAAGGATTCTCTTTCAAGGACAATGTAGTAATGGATTGTACCTAATACCACTTCCAACTAGGAGTAATGTCATTACTTCCAAGGCTCGGGCTGCTTATCTTGGACATCAAGTATCTTCTAGTCTCTGGCATAGGAAATTAGGTCACCCATCAAACTTTGTGGTTTCTCTCATGTCGAAGAAGTGTAATTTGTATGTGTTACCTGATTCATTATTTGTGATGTGTTATACATGTATGGAAGACAAACTTTATAAATTGCCCTTTGTCAATTATGTGTCTAAGTCCCGACATCCCTTACAAGTCATTCATAATGATGTATGGGGTCCATCTCCTTGTAATTCTATAGACGGTTTAGCTACTATATGACATTCATTGATGAATGCACTAAACATTGTTGGCTATTTCCCATTATCAATAAAAGTGATGTTTTCTCTACTTTTGTGGAATTTTATAATTTTGTCTCCAATCATTTTGCCACTTCCATCAAAACATTACAGAGTGATGGTGGAGGTGAATACCTTAGTAAACCATTTCAAACGTTTCTATTGGACAAAGGAATAAAACATCAACTGTCATGCCCTTACACACCTAAGCAAAATGGTTTGGCAAAAATGAAGCATAGGCATATCGTTGAAATAGCTATGACCTATTGCAAACAGCTTGTTTACCCCTAGTTTTCTGGTCTTTTGCATGTCAAACTGCTATATACCTTATTAATAGAATGCCCTCATCTACACTTCACAATAAATCTCCTTTTGAACTGTTGTTTAATGATGTCCCAGATATCAAACATCTTAGAATTTTTGGTTGCTCAAGTGTTTCCATTATTAAAACCTATAATAGTACCAAGTTACAACCCAAGACAACCAAGTGTATTTTCCTATGCTATGCTTCCAAATACAAGGGTTTCATTTGTTATGACATTATTCATACCAAGTTTTATATTTCCAAACATGTAGTGTTTGATGAGTCTGAATTTCTGTATCACACCTTATCTGTTAAATGTCTTGTCTCCATCAATCTCACTCCTACATATATGGTCTCTCCAAGCATCTCCATCCATTTTAGTTACTAGTGACAATCATATAGTGTCTATTTCATCCTCTAGGACAACTACTATGCCCGATATTATGCCATCACGACATTTTATTCAACAAAGTGGTACTCACATTCCTTTACAATCCATTATTCAATCAACAAATCAACAATCCTCATCTTCATTCATTGTGGCTCCTGAAATTCCAAATGGGTTATGTGTTGACCATTCTACTAAGTCTTCTTCTGAGATTCCTAGTGACAATGGTGTTGTAATGCAGAATGAGTTTCAATGTAGAATGAGTTTCAACCTGATAGTTTGCAGGTTATTCTTCCTATTCCTCCTATGACCACTCACTCTATGCAAACAAGAGCTAAGAATGGTATTTCAAAGAAGAAGGCTTTTCTTTATGTGGTTCAAGATGTTGAATATGTTGATCTCTCTCAAATTGAACCTGATACTTACAAGTCTTCTCTAAAGTCTCCATTATGGTTTTCTGCTATGGAAGAAGAATTGACAACTCTTAAAACTCAACACACTTGGTCTCTGGTGCCATTGCCTTGAAATAAGAACTTGGTAGGTTGCAAGTGGGTGTTTAAGATTAAGAAACATCTGATGGGTCTATTTCCATGTATAAAGCAAGGCTTGTTGCCAAAGGTTTCAACCAAGAAAAGGCATTGACTATGGAGAAACTTTTAGCCTAGTAGTTAAACCTACAACTATAAGGTTGGTCCTACCTTTAGCAGCTAATTTTGGGTGGTCATTGCGTCAACTTGATGTGAAGAATGCTTTTCTTCATGGCATTCTTCATAAGGAAGTATATATGTCACAGCCACCTGGTTTTAGTGATCATCAACATCGCACACATGTTTACAGGTTGCATAAGTCCTTATATGGCTTAAAACAAGCCCCAAGGGCATGGAATAAAGATTTACATCATTCTTCCTTCTATGAGGTTTCTTTCAACATATTTTGATCCTTCATTTTTTTTCAAGAATGTTGGACATTCTGTGGTCATCCTTCTCATTTATGTGGATGACATTATAATCATAGGGAATGATTCTGAGACTATTGCTTCAGTGATTAGGGCTTTGACAAAGGAATTTGATATTAAAGATTTAGGTTCTCTCCATTATTTTCTTAGGATCCAAATCAAACAGAATGCAAGTGGAATGTTTATCACTCAATCCATATGTTGCAGATTTGTTAGTTAAGGCGAACATGGTTTATTCCAAACCTTGTTCCACACCTTGCTTACGTTATAACAGGTTATTAAAAAATGATAGACATGCTTTCAATAATCTCTCTCTATAGAAGTATTGTGGGTGCTCTTCAATACCTAATTTTTACTAGACCTGATATCTCTTTCTCAGTTCATCAGGTTTGTTGGTTCATGCAATGTCCTATGGATTCTCATTATGCTGTTGTGAAGAGGATTCTTAGTTATTTACAAGGAACTGTTGTGTTTGGTATTCAGTTTAGCAAATGAGAGTTGGATCTCCATGCATTTAGTGATGCAAATGCTGATTGAGCTGGAGATCCTAATGAAAGAAGGTTTACCATAGGTTTAATTGTGTATTTAGGGCCAAATCCTATTTCTTGGTCCTCCAAGAAACAAAATACAATCTCTAGATCATCTACAGAGGCTGAATACTGAGCACTCTCACATAGTTCAGCATAAATTGATTGGATCAAACAACTTATTCAGTTTATGCAAATTGATGTTCCTTGTCCTACAACATTGTTTTGTGATAATCTATCTATCATAGCCCTTGCTTACAATCCAGTCATGCATCAGTGAACAAAACATATTGAGGTTGATGTAAATTTTGTCTGTGAGAGAGTTGCAAAGAAGTTTCTGCAAGTGCATTTTGTTTCCTCTAATGAGCAATTTGCTGATATTCTTACAAATGGTTTGTCTACTCCTTTGTTCCAAATACACTATAATATGTGTATGTGTGTGAGGTAGTTAAGTTGGTTAGGATTCTATATGTTGAGATTGTGACAAGTGTCAACATCTTGTGAGCTTTGTATTAGCTTAATAGATAAGCAATGTAATTAACTAGATATATCACATTGTATAAGTGTAATTTGTAAGCTTCTCAATTCATTAATACAAGATACACTTTCTCTCTCTACAACTATACTTTTTTTCTCTGCAAGAATACTACTACTTCTTCTGTTATATATATATATATATATATATATATATATATATATATATATGTGTGTGCATATTGGACGTGTTCAGTATGAGGTTTGGGATGCTTAGTTGTTCTTTTCCCTTTAACTCAAATAATAAATATGGATATATTTAGTTTTTGTATCTTTTTGCTTGTGAGATTTATGAGATTGTTCACACTGATCTTATAATCATCCCTCACAGGTTGGTTATGTGCAAGGAGTTATTGCAAGATAGAGACATTGATAATACACATCTTTTGCTAGTATTTTCCTATGATGACAGTTTTTGTAATATGTAGGAAGTTGATTGATATAAATTTCCTCATCATCAGTACTCCTCCTGATTACGATTGAGTAATTATTATGAGTTTATTTATATTGGTGATAATGTAAATGTAGCTAGGGTTGGATTAAGCTCTTATGAATGTAATATACGCTAGCCAAACTAAATCTATTGTGTGCAATCAAGGAAGAGTACGAATGTTGTCTAAACAGGAACAAGAGGGATCCACCTAGGGCCGGCCTTGAGATTTTGGGGGCCCTGATAAAAGCTTTCATCATGTCTTTCTGCATCGTTATTTAGCTCAAAGGTTTCATGTGGTTCATATTGGGGGTACTTCGAGATTGTTATTCCCTGTTCGCAGGTTCTTTAGGGGTTAATGCAAAGAAGGCTGCCACATTTTGGTGCTATGCTTTTGCAACATTAGTTTGTTTAGACAGAAGGAAACAATAGCACTTTTGTAAATAAGTCGCAGAAGATGAATTTTCTATTTGGGTAATAGCAGTTTTTGTTTTTCTATTATCTGATGAGTAATCTTTTTTAATGCGGAATTAGAGGTGCAATTGCAATAGACAAGTTGTCCACTAATATGCGGAATTATAGTAAAGTGTGATTGAAGAATAAGTGTGATGGACTTAAAATGAATTCAAAGTTATGGAAAGAACTAGTTGGGAAATAAACTGGCCTAGGGCGGAACCCAATCAAGGGAACAGTTGACCAATATTTTAACTACCTATTTAAATTAATAATACATCCAGTAACATGTCATGCTTGGTCATTTTACATAGTCAACAATTTTATATAAAAGTTTACCAAACATTATGACACTGTTTTTCTTCTTTTCTAAAAGCACTTTTAACACTATAGTTTACTAAACACTTTCCTACTTTTTTTTACAGCTGTTTATTCTCATAGCACAGCAAAAATTGTTTTGAAAAAAGAAGAAAAAAAGTACAACTCCAAACTAGCCCATATATCTTTTTCAGTCTTTCCATTTATTCGATTTATGAAAATTCTTGCATACAAGGAGCACATTTTCTCATAGCTATATCTCTCACGTGTTGATGTTATTAACAATTTTTGGAGAACCTAATGCTATAGTAGAATATGATATACATTGGCGATGCCCTATTGTAATTTTTATGTGTTAAACATTTAACCTAGTTGTTAGCCGTGCAGAAGTAAGAATTGAAACCATCTTATTCTAATTCTTAACTTTCAGTTGTTTCTTAACATATATGGAATCCAAAAAAGTGGCCGAAAGAGATTAACTACAGGTTCCACCTGCATAATCCAATACCTCCAAAATAAGAAATCTGATCATATGTGAGAACTAGTAAATCTTATTTCCATTGTTTTTCCATCCTCTAGTCATTACTTTCCTCATTCCAATCAGTAAACATGTTTCCCTTAGTACCACGTATGTCTAGTATTATTCCTCTTGTAAGTGGGAGGCTGTCTAACATTATTCCTATTGTAAGTGGAAGGTCTTGTGTTCGAATCTCGTAAATGGTGAATTTGATACTAAAGTATTACAGCATGCGCATTATGTTACTTTTATTACATCGTGTGCATTATGTTACACCTTCCAAAATAGGCCTAGAAAATTGAGTATAGTACCAATAATATAGAAATCAAACTCTTACAATGGATCACAGAGAACGCACACACAATTTTTGGGTGCATAAGAGTATCTCCAATGGGAGTCTCCCACAACCACTTTTGAGGACTTATTTAGAAACTTTAGATGGATATTCAAGTCCTTAAAAGCATATTGTCTACAATGAAAATTCCTTATAGTATAATCCCTAAAGGGACTAAAATATTAAAAAATTATTATTCATATCATTGAAATATTGTACCCATTGATAAAAATAAAAAACTATCTCTACCATTGATTTTTTAAGAATTAAAATTAAAAAATAAAAGGCAAATGAGAAGTTGCCCCATTTGGGTGGGTTCAAAAAACTAGGACGGAGGGAAAAGGATGATGAGAGTTGATAGGGGGGAAAAGGGGGGGAAGGGGCAAATTTCTAGGGTTAGGGTTCCACCAAATTTTTTCAATTAATGTGGTGATTGGGTGGTTAATTGGGTTGTTACTTCCTTCTAGCTAGAGCTAAGTTAACTAGTTTGCTAAGTAAGTGGCTAAAAATTCCTATAAGCTACATATACAACAGGAAATTGAGGAGTGGTAATGGCTTGAGTGTTTGCTTGTTTAGGAGATTTGGAAGTAATAATCATGGCCAATCCGAAATTGGTGATCTTTTTCGTATTAAAAAGGAAAATGAGGATATGCATAGCTGTGGACTTTCCCAAGAAATCAATCATGGTGGGTGACGTCATTGCTTAATGGCTGCTGCAAGGGGGTGCTTCCCCAGGATGGGCGTGCAAGGTAAGTTCCTTATCTAATTGGACGCCTTATAGTAGTGTTAATTATAGTGCTACAGGGAAGCTAAAGGGTTGCTATTGCTTGTCTAGATTCTCAAAATCTAGCTCAATTTATGTTCTTACAATGGTAATTATTAGATTTAATGTGTGTAATTGGATTGATTTTATGACGCTCAAGGCTAAGCATGCTTGTCATAGGGTTCGGATTAGGCCGTTTAGTTTTTTGCTAATTATTGATTTTGAGTGCTTGCTTGTAACTGTTGCTCTTCCTTAGTTAAGTGTCTGATGCAACGCTCGAGTTAGTATTTATAAGTCTTGGGGGTTGGATGTTTTTTCCACATCAACTCCTTGTCCTCCTTGTCTGAATCCCCTGTGTTTAAGCATGACAGTCATATCCCAGCTTGAAGCCTCCTCTTCTAGGCAAGCTCGCATTCCTACTAGCCCCAAGATCCCTTCTTAGGCTAATAAGTTTGCCGATCCTTTACCTAGTCAACCTCCGATTGTGGTGAAAGGTGCTCGTGGAACGTTCACTATGGAGAATGGTATTACCAGAGTATCTACCAGTCTTTACTCAAATCTTAATGTTGAGTACATGGAGAGTAAGGTCCTAATAGGTAAGCTTGTGGGTAAGCAACTTGATACAAGGATTATTAAGTGGAAGCTTGGTCTAACCTGAGGGGATAGAGTTAAGAGTCCTTTTTATCTCGATCACTTTGGGCATAGGTGGTATGCTACTGAGTTCACTGATGAGGAGGAGTTGGAGTTCGCACTGGACTATAGGCCTTGATATGTTAGAGGGCAGATTTTTCATATGGAAAGGTGGAACATCCACTTTAGAGATACCGACCTTATCTCCAACCTAAGAATTTGGGTAAAGGATTCCAAGGGTGCCAGTTCACTACAGGGATGCTGAAATCTTGGAAGTTATTACTCAGCATGTGGGAAGTTTTGTTTAAGGCGGATGAGACCACAATTTCAAGTTTAAATGGTTTGTTGTGAGAGTCTTACTTTAAGTGGATCTTAGATTACCACTTAAGAAAATTCTGGTGGTGAATGATGATGAGGAGTACCCTCTATTGTTGAACTATGAGAAATTGTTTGAAGTTTGTTTCTAATATGGTAGGAAGCGCTTTAAGAGGCACTTGTGCCCTGCAGAGTTTGATAATGATGGTTGTCTGCTAGTTGATAGGATATTTGAGGATGGGCCTATGATTTGTCCAACTAATTTTCTAGTTAGTTAAGAGAGTAAGAATGAGCCTAGGAGGGGGTTATGCTTTTATTCCCTCAACCTACTCTTTTTTATGATTACAGCTCGGTGGAAGGGGATGTTCGAATTCGAGGTGATAATGCACAGGAGTAACGCGTGGAGGATGAAGGATGGTCTGAGGTGCCTATGAGGCGGGCTAGAAACAATAATAGGGGTAAGAGCTCTTCTTGTAGGGATGGTAGGAGTTATGATAATGTTGTCAAATGTAATAGAACTTGGGTGTCGAGGGCTAATTTGGTATCTAAATGGTGCCCTAGGACTGATGGGGGATCTAGGTCTGGTACTGTTGGTGAGAAGAGTGATGCTGAGATCTTGGCTAATGTGAGTAATAGTAAGGGGAAGAATGTGAAAGAGGTCACGAATCTTAAGGCGGGGGATGAAGTTTTCATGGAAACAGAGGTTAGGGAGTTTGAGCAAGTGTAATTTGGGGGTAATAGAAAGAGGATAAGAAGTGAAGCTAAGGAAGAGAGGGGTCGAGCTACAATCAGGAAGATGTTGACTAATGAAGTTGATGCTATGGCAACTTTAGGGCTTGAGGCTAGCCAGACTTTTCCAATCAGTTTAATTTCCTTTGTAGTTTAAATGCTTTTGATGTCTTTTGTATTGTGGAACCGAAGTCTAACCCGGATAGTGGTCTTAGTGCTTGTTTGTCTAAGTCATTCATTAAATTGTTTTTTGCAAAAGGATATGGTAGGGCTGGTGGTATTTGTTTATGTTGGAATGACTTTATTATTAATCTCACTATTATTGCCCACAATATCATATCTATCCATTGTGAAGTTACTGAGAAATGTTCCAATAAGCAATTTTTTTATTCACTTGTGTTTATGCTTACCCTCAAAAAAGTCTCCAATCCCAATTGTGGAATGAACTTGTTTCTTTGTTTTCAAGTAATAATTATGAACAACCTTGGTTGCTAATAGGTAATTTTAACAATATTATTAATTTAGAAGAGAAAGTTGGGGGTGACAGAAGTGTTAGTTAGCACATGGCAAACCTTAATAACTTCCTTAATGATGGAAATTTAGTCTCTATTGATGCAACTTGTGTGCCGTCTACCTGGTGTAATGGTCATAAAGATAGTACCATTATATTTGAGAGACTTCATAGGGCCGTTGCTCATATGGATTAGATTAACTCCTATCCTAACTATAACCTCCATAACTACCCCATTTTTGGGTATGATCATAGTCTCATCTTGCTTGATACTAATAGCTATAGAAGTGGTAACTACCAGGTGCTAGTACATTTAAATTTGAAGCCCTGTGGCTTTCCCATCCAGGTTTTAAAAATGTTGTTGGGAAAGCTTGGGAGCAAAATATTTTGGTAATGCGTGTGAAAAGATTAGAGGTTACTTAGGGACGTTTAAATTTCTAATTAAGAACTGGAATAAAGAGGTCTTTGGGAAGTTATTGGAAATGCAACAAAAGATTATGAATGAGAGAGATCCCAACAACCTTTTTGATAGAGATATTCAAATTAAAAACCAGCTAAGTGATGTGCGAAAGAATGAGGAATTATTTTGGACTCAAAAAGCTAGAACTAACTGGTTGCAGCTTAGAGACAAATACTAGATATTTCCAAAAGATGGCTAATGTTAGAAGAAGAAAAAAAATGAAATTACTAGAATTAAAGATAGCCAAGGCCATTGGTGGTGGAGGGGTGAAGCTCTGGATAGGGTTTTTGTTGAGGATTTCCATGCTAGGTTCTCTACTTTTGTCAGCCCGTCTTATGATTGTCTGGCAAATTTCATTGGCATTATTGATCCTTGTATTAGTAACGAGCAAAATGTTAATCTTAATAGGCCTATCCTTGATAGTGAAGTGTATAAGGCTATTAAAAGCATTGGAGCCTTGAAAGCTCTAGGGCCTTATGGTATTCACGCTTCGTTGTATCAAAACTGTTGGGAGATTGTTGCCCTTCAATGGTTAAAGACTTTTTCATTAATGGTTCAAGCTTGCGATTGATAAACCATACTAATATAGCTCTAATCCTTAAGGTGGAGAATCCTGAAGTGGCGTCTAGATTTAGACTGATTAGCCTCTGTAATGTTACTTATAAGATAAGAGTAAAGTGTAGCAATGGTCCCTTAATTTTAACTCAATTGGAGCAATGGTTCATCAACTTATCAAAATGTGCAGCTATGGTCCCTCAACTAAAAATTCATTACTATTGGTCTCTTAACTTTAATCCAACTGGAGCAATGGTCCTTCAACTTTAACTCAATTTAAGCAATGGTTATTCTAACATAACTCATTTGTCCCTATATTTAGGGACCATACGATTGTAGTAGGGATTCCATTTAAGGTTTCATTGGAGACGCTCTAAGATTTGGAACTCCAAAACGACATCGTATCCTTGTTTGGAAACTCTTTGAATCTTACCGGTTAAAACGGCTCCACTCCAACAAGGGGCTGAATTTGGTGACTCAATTCGGTGCAGCAATCTAACTAGCTTTGGTAAGCTCTCTCTTCCCTACAATTTTAGACTGCTGATTCTAATTCCATTCAAATTTATCAGAAATGGGTTTTATTTATCCTTATCGTTTTTATTTCTCATAGTTCAAACTTGTGGGTTTATGCTGGATGGGTTTTTCTCAGGAAAAACCCAGCAGATGGAAAATGGGGTTGCAAGTTCATGGGTTTTGTTTATTGGGTAAATTATGTAAATGGGTTGCTGTATTTTTTTTATTTATTTAACGGGCATCGGTTGAAAATATTTTAGCTCAAGTATAATTTTGTTGTGTTGAGCTGCACAGATTAAGGGGATTTCTGTTTTATTTGAAACTGATCAGAAACTAGACTTCGAATCGGTACAATTATACAGCTACTTAATGCTACTAAGCAAGCATTTCATATGACAAGGAAGGTTTTTGGTATATATAAGCGGTGTTTGCAAGTTTTAGGCAACGTTGGAGAATTAGTGTTTCTGAACTGATAGGTTTTTGATTTCATTAGTTACATTTGAGATGTCAGTTATTAGTATATTATTCAAAAATGTCTATAAATATAGGTTCAATTGATATGCAGTGGAACTCCAAATGTGCGTCTACCCTCAGTTCGGATGTAGTACTTCATTACGGGATTTGGGTTTAGGTGGGAATATCGATTCGCTTTACACATATGTAAATGAAATTTGGTAAGCTATCTGCTGCGTGTAGATCCTGGAACCTTGTGTTTGACTCAGTGAGTTTCAATTGGGTATCCCAACTTGCCTATATGGTGTTTGAGATAATGTCCCACTTAAGTATTGAGACCCTTTATATCCTATTTTTCTTGTAATGAGTTCAGTTTCTAGTCTTGAGATGAGTTGTTTAATATATGTGGATATGCTTTTGAATATTTGGAACATGTATATAAATATACATCTCAAGTATTGAAGCCCCCACAATAAATCTCATCATTTTTTAAGCTTTTAGCCAAACAAATCACGTTAAAAATCTTCACACTGAAACTCCCGTCATCTTGAAGTTCTTTGGTACTTCAAAGTACTTAATCCAAGCACACATGCTGAAATCTGGACAGCATTACAGCATTTGGATTTTTTTTGTTAATGTAGGAAGTTTGTGGAAAGAGAAATGTCCAGGTTTCGAGGAATGTTGCAAGCTTCCCTAAATGCAACCAAGAAAGGTAGTATCGCCACTTTTATTTGTTCTACATATCTTTACATGATATAATACAGAATCTCATGCATATAAAATTTGCGTAACTACCTTACATTCTATAAATTTGTCCTTCTATTTACTTTTCATTTTCACTAGGGGAATCAAAATCTTTCGTGTTTGTTTATACTTTCATATATTTCTAGATTTGATGAATATAAAAGATTTCACCTACCATGTATGAATATATTTAAGGGCATGTTTAATGCCTGAATCGTACGTTAACACTTGGCACCAAAAGAATTATGATGGCCAAGCATTACTGCATTTGTGTTCTTCCTGTTATATGGGAATCGGACTTTAAAGTCCACTTCTTGGTTTCCTATCAGTAAGTGAGTACAGATGTTTGCTTTTTCCACATTGATAGATGAAGTTATGAAACTTGTGTGAAGTTATCAATATTGAAACAATTTATTTGTATCAACATTCTGCTGTTTTTTGTATCAAATGCCAATTTAGCACTTACATGGAATGTTGAAGACCTGGTGCCTCCAACTGAGAGATTTATTTTCAATTTCAATTCGAAGGATGAGCTCAAGAAGTGGCATCTATATTCTGACTCTGAATACGGAGGTATTGATGTGCATAACTTTGATATCTCCTTTTATTAATATATAAGAAAAAACTAAAAGCAGTTGGGACTAATGCCTAGCTTTTTAGTCTCCTTGTATATGAATGCAGTTATGATTTCCAATGCAGTTTTTCCCTGTATGAACTTTGATCTGTATCAGATGATGGAATTGCAACTTTCTTTCCTGAAATTGTTTTATTGATTTCACTATTTTTTGCCCTTTCATTTTGTATGTCAACATGCCAAGATTTGAATATACATATCCATGCCTATTTCTTTGCAGGGTTGTCCTCAGCATCTTTAGAAGTTCCAGATAATGAAAATGGACCCACTGGTAATTGACAGTAAATACCTTTAAATGTTGCAATAAATATATTTTATAGTTATTGCTTTAAGCTATTTTTGCTCTGAACGCAAATTTGATGCACAGAAAGTTAATCAGGATCTTTCAAGAAATTAGGGCAAGAAACTGAAATTAGAAACTTGTTTTTTGAATATATGCTTTTTTGTGATAAAAGTTACAAATTCATGTTTTGATGCTAATGGAGAGTTTCTGCTCACTGCTAAGGCATGCAATTGCCTTGGTGGCACAGTTGTAGGATAGTATCTTTCATTTGAATGTTAAATTCAGATGAGTAGAGTAATCACTAATCATTATCTTAGCTTATGAAATTGAAAAGTTTGTGAATCCACATTATGCTGCTAGCCTACGAGCTTTCATTGTATATCACTGTTACCAGTAGTTGATATACTACGCACTTACCTTCTGAAACCATTCTCCTTTAAATTTTAGGAATTTTCTTGGGTAACCTTTCGTTGGATTTCATTGAGGGTGCAAAGCTGAAGATAAACAGGAGTGGCTTTTGTGGAATGCGTTCCAAAAAGGTGAGCTGTGAACATTTTAGTAATGTAGATGAAGAGTTTGAAATGAAGACAGAAAAGTTTTGTTAATGATATTTGAATATTTTATTATATTCTGAGAATCTTAACATCTTAAGATGTTCTGGTGTCAAATTATTGCTAATTCACAGTAATTTTTGTTGTTTGTTTATTTCAATTCTGTGCGTGCATGTGTTTTGTTATAGTTTTTCCCATTTCCGATCAATGAAGATCTTCTGGTTTCCAGTTTTTCTGACTCCAAATGGACATGGAAAATTGTTACACATGTGTGATGACCGTACTGCCAAATTTGGATTCATGCTTACATCATATAAGTACCCTATTCCACCAAAGACCATTTCGTGGGCATCATTTCAATATTTATTTGTTCTTCTGCAGTTTGATGGCTACATTGATTTGGACCGATATGATACCATAGCACTGAAAGTTAAAGGAGATGGAAGATGCTACATTTCTACGGTAACTATTTTTGTTTATGATCAAGCAATGAGAGGAGTTGGAATGCAAGGCATGTAATCCAAATTTCTTTGTCTGTTAATTTCTAATTGATGTGGTTTTTGCATGTGCAGATCTACACAGAAAATTGGGTAAATTCACCTGGTCAAGAAGAAGATAATTCGTGGCAGGCTTTTGTTTTTGTACCGAAAGATAACTGGTACATAGCAAAGGCAAGTTCTACTTGCCTCAACCTTTGGTGATTAGAAACGTGATATGATGGACCTGGCCATCACAGGGAGCCAAGAATTTCATGTTTCTTGGGTTACATGGAATTCAAACCCGAAAAACATGAAATTCAATTTAATGGAATGTCTTTGAATTTGTCAACTCCGTATTGATGATTTGAGTCCATGATGTCATTTTTGTGCAGTTTATAATTGAATGCATTATCCTTTTCTTTTTGCCTATCTTATCATAGGGTACTAGGAAACTCCGAAAACACTGAACTAGTTTTCCATTTGTCGGAATGCATCTGTAAATTTGTTTAAATGACAGACGTAATAGAATTGCATTGTACTGATTATGTATGATCTTTCAGATTCCTCTTGCTCTGTATCTACCAACATGGAGAGGAAATGTTATCGACGCAGAAATGGAAATGAACCCTTCTCGCGTTGTTGGCATGTCTCTATCAGTCAATGCAGAAGGCGGTCTCCCAGGTGCTAGAACTGGAGCGGGTGATTTCAAGCTCGAAATTGATTGGATCAAGGCTTTACGAACGCAATAACCTTGTAAAATATGTCGGAGTAACGAAGTTCGGTTGTATCCAAGTTTTGTGTTGATGGTAGCAAAGTATTCAAAGGTTTGACATACCCAGAAAATGAATGCTCCTGAATCCTGATGCTATCTTGCTATACACAATTGAAAATTTTTGCAGTTTGCAGGTTATTACACTGATAGCATATTTAAACTTTTTGGAATATTAGATGATCTGTTTTCTCTAGAAGGTCTTGTGTATGAAAAAATATGAACCTTAATTTCCACTTGGATGCAGATTTCCGAGTCTCTTTGTGACACGGAAATTTCAGCGACCAATCGTGAGTTCTATGTTTTGCCATGTAATCAAATGGACGAAAAGATATCAAGAAGCGGTCGAGGAGCGGGTTTGGCCAAGTTCATTGATCTCAAATAATGAATTATTAGTTCAAAAAATAAATCCAAACTACGGTTAAACTTTAGAGATTAATTTCATTTTGCTAAAAGATCTACAAAAAAAAAAAAAAAAAAAAAAAAAAAAAAAAGCTAATTTTTATATGATTTCTTTTAAAGAAAAGTACAATATTTTAAATGATTTTTGAGATTTGTATAATTCATCACTTTGGTATCTGAGATTTGAAATCAATAGAATGGTCCGTATCATCAATCATTTTGGTCCTTTTGTGAAACATTATGTTAAATAATGATCAAAATGATAAAAATACTCTTAATTTAATAAATAATAGGACAAATGATTTGACAAAAATTAAGAATATTTTTATTATTTTATTCTTATTTAATAGATATTTTTTATGAAAGACCAAAATGATTGATGATAAAGAATCTTAGTTATCAATTCTATCGATTGTAAATCTTAATGATCCAAATGATCATTTGAGTTATCCAAACTCTATTCATCATTTTGACTCAAAATCATTTAAATATATATCATGAAGAACTGTACTAAAAGTATCCTTAAATTAGATATAAAATCGATGATAATTAACATATTGAAAATGCATGGCCAGCCTTTCATTCAAGATCTACTTTGATTGTTGTAAAGATAAGTAAAGCATGTCATAATTCACATCTGGAAAATGCATGACAGGCCTTTCTTGTTTTCTTTTGGGGGAATTTGGAAACAACATATCCGACACAAATATAAAAATCTTTGTTTTTTCCTTCAAGGCATGCTTTTTCTTTTATATACTATTGGTTAGTATAATATATGGAGATTTATTTGTTATTTCGCGTGGATATTAAGAAGATGAGATAGCGTTTAAATTTAAAATGTAGTAGGTTGAAAATGAATATCTTATTTATCATGGCATTCAACTATTAACAAATATTTTAAGTTAAGAGAAATATCACTATACTGTATTATATAAATAATTATTCAAGTGTTACTTTTAATTCTATTTTCTTTTGTAATGTTCTTTTATCTGAATTGATTAATGAGTGTCTTTAATTTAAACATGATTGTGGATGCAAATTTCCGTCTTCTTCTTCTTGGACAAAAATACACCTGCAAAATAATTAACACCTTGGGTCATGACCAAGAGCCTCACGTGCCCATGATGAATGGGGGGGAACTTTGGCGAAGAAACTCCGATGCCAAAGTTAGAATTTAAGGGAAAAGTAGAGAATTTGGAGAATTTAGTAAGAGAGTTGGAATTAGGTTTTTGGAAGAAATGTGAGCTATTTATAGGGGTGTGGCCAACCCTATTTGGAGAAAAGGGGTTCGGCCGCTTAAGGTGTTTTTTGGATGTAAGATATTATGTTAGATCCCACATCACCCAGAGGAGTAGATCTTCTATGCCTTATATGTACATGCCCACTTCCATATAGCACGAAGCCTTTTAGGAGCATACTGGCTTCAGTTCCATCAGAACTCCGAAGTTAAGCGAGTTTGCACAAGAGCAATCCGAGGATGGATGACCCACTAGGAAGTTCTCGTGTGAGTTCCCAAAAACAAAACCGTGACGGCATGGTTAGGGCCCAAAGCGGATAATATTATGCTATGGTAAAGGCAGGGCCTGAGATGTGGTGGAGCCCGGGGCTAGGATTTGACAATTTGGTATCAGAGCCAATCCCTGGTCAGAAATGTGTCGACGAGGACATCGGGCCCCTAAGGGAGGTGGATTGTTAGATCCCACATCGCGCAAGGGAGATGATCTTCTATGCCTTATATGTACATGCCCACCTCCATATAGCATAAGGCCTTTTGGGAACTCAGTTGGCTTCGAGTTCCATCAGAACTCCCAAGTTAAGAGAGTTCGGGCGAGAGCATTCCAAGATGGGTGACCCACTAGTTCTCATGTGAGTTCCCGGAAACAAAACTGTAAGGGCGTGGCCAGGGCCTAAAGCTAACAATATCGTGCTACGGTAAAGTTGAGCCTAGGTCAGGATGTGACATATTATGTCAAAATAGTATCTTATAATCAATTAGGAAATTAATTAGAAATTTAATTAATTAAGAAATTAATCAATTAATTTAGGTAATTAATCCTATTTTGAATGAATAATCGAAGGTTGCCTTGTGGGGAAGATTTGATGAGGATGGATGAAATAGGTTTTGAATAAATACCTATTTTGATCACTTTTGACCTTGATTGAGTCGTGATTGTCCGTTGCTTGCTCGTAAGAGTTTCAGTGTGTCTCGAGGGTGATTTTATCTTTTTCACCCAAGAATCCATGTGTCGCCTCCATATTTTTCTTGATTATTTTTTGCTCCACAAATGCCCCCACACCTGCTAGGCTACTCATAGGAAAGGGCAACAAGTGTAGAGATCTCCAACTTTGATACAGATTCTCACTTGGACTTGGAATTAGATTCTTCTAGAAAGGGAAATAAATCGCCTCCAAAGCCTATTTAAGCCTATCTTAAGGACGGGATTAAATCAACTTCGGACGAGTAATTATTTATCCCTACAAGAAAGAGAGAAAATTAGAAGATATTTGTTCCCTCTCCTCTTGCACTATTTTTTGCTTGCCCGTGCAAAGAACCGTCTTCCGTTAATTTCTTTGACTTCCTCGCGCCGCATCAATGTAAGAAAAACTTAATTCTCCTTATCTTCTTCTTGGGTGGTGCTGCCACGAGGCAGCCATCGAGGTGGTGCAGCACGTCGGCTGCAAGGGCTAGGAGTCGACTTGGCATGGGCTAAGGACATGGTGTCGCAAAGCCATTACTTGTGCTGCTCGGCTTGACTAAAACCAAGGACTGGCTCGGCGTGGGCTGAGAAAGTGGCATGGCATAGGCCACGGTTTGGGCTGCCTCTTCTAGGCTGCTTGCCAAAAATGAGGAAACTGCTTAAGTTTGATTTATCAGCAGCCGTAGATAGAGTAGTCAAGGATGGAGCTGCCAAGATCGGAATTGCTAAAGATGAAATGTCGGACGAGTGAACTGTTGGGTGTAAAGTGGTTGCTGCCCCCTGATCATTTGCTACCTAGTTAGTCTTCAAGCATTTGATCTTTTGAGCTATGTGGCCTTCTCACATTGGAGAGCTTACCTAGCTGGGTGTTGGGGAATTGGTTTACCCTTTCGCACTGGAGAGCTTACCCATATAGGTGTCGGGGAATTAGTTTGCCCTCTCACAATGGAGAGCAATTAGTTTAACCTTTAGCACTAAAAAGCAGACACATATGGGTGTCGGGGAATTAGTTTACCCTCTCACACTGAAAACAATTAGTTTAACCTCTCGCACTAGAGAGCAAACCCTTATGGGTGTTGGGAATTGGTTTACCCTCTCGCACTGAAGATTAATAGTTTAAACTCTCGCATTGGAGAACAGACCCATATGGGTGTTGCGTAATTGGTTTACCCTTTCGCACGGAGAGCAATTAGTTTATCCTCTACCATTGGAGAGCTTACCCAGATGGGTGTCGGGGAATTAGTTTACCTTCTCGCACTAGAGAGAAATTAGTTTATCCTTTCGCACTAGAGAGTTTGCCCAGATGGAGGTTTGAGCAGTTGTTGTAGACAGCAGTTGAGCCTGGCTTATGAATAACTTCTTGAATCTTCATTACGAATAAAGAAATAAATTAATTGTGCTGCAAGGTAGAAACTACATAACAAACTGGATAGTCCTCAGCTTGCAAGGTCTTGTTCGTCGAGCTGCCTGAGACTTTGAACTTATATGGATAGTTCCCCTGCTTGCATAGGCCATGTCGTTGACCTGTCAAGATACTTGTCGCTTTGGCCCTCTTTTATCAGCTTCTCAAGGTACTATTTCCACTTCTGGCAGCTGTTGGTAATATGGCCTGGTCCTTGATGGAATGCGCAATACTTTGTCTAATCCAGCCTAGTAAGATCACCCTTCATGGGTGGCGACAGTTCGAACCAAGGTTCATTCTTAAGCTTACGGAGAATTTGGTCGACTGAGACTATGAACTTGGTGAATGTTTCGGGCGCTGAGTCTTCTCTCGTCGGGGAACATTCCATGCGCTTCTTTTCCAACTCGTTTTTGTTAGACTGCTTGGCCTCGTCCCATAATGCGTGCTTCTCCGCCAAAGTATATAAAGCTGCCAAGGTCAGTTCTTCTCCCACGATCAATTTTTCGAATAAATGGTGTTCGGTGTGAAGCTAATTTCTGAATGCTTTGGCTGCACCTTGGGCTTGGGTTGTGCTCTTAGCACTGTGGGCTTTGCCGAGGGTGGTTGCCATGGTGGCCATCGTGGTGGTTACTACAATGGTGCCCCGTTGGGGTGGTACCTGCTCCACTCATCGTCGTGTTGAGCCTTGTGGATCGCAGTGGTCCTAATTCTTGAACGTTGGAATTTTCATTTGTCGAGGTTTTCGAATCTCTTGTCATTGTACTTTTCTTTCACGTTTTATTGAAGAATTTTTATAAATAAAAATTCGAAGAATAAGAACGTACGAAAAATTTACAAATGAAAGAAAACGAAAAACCTTGAATGAGAGAGTCTTCTACAAGTCGTGTGACTCAAACTCTCAATGAAAACACCAATTTGTGGATGCAAAATTTCCTTCTTCTTCTTCTTCTTGGACGAAAATGTACCTGCAAAACAATTAACATCTTAGGTCAAGGTCAAGAGCCTCACGTGCCCAAGATGAATAGGGGGAGGGGACTTTGGCTGAAGAACCTCTGATGCCAAAGTTAGAATTTGAGGGAAAAGTGTTTAGAAAAATTTGGAGAATTTAGCAAGAGAGTTGGAATTAG